TGGGGACAAAGATTATAGATCATTCTCCAGTTTTGTCTCCTAGCATGGTGTTTCTTTCAGAAGAGTTAAGAGACAAAAAATTTTGTAGAATAACTCAACCTACAGTTCAATAGGAGATCCATCATGTAACCAAAAGACAGGGATGCAATAGAAACTGTAGCGATTCCCTCAGAGGTATCATGTGCTGGAGACCATGAGTGGCAGCAGTCACTTCTCCATTGCTGGAAAAGCCAGGACTCACAGAGGACACATTATGTGGATTTGACTTGTAGCATGGGAACATTGAGGTGGTGATGATGCCTGGGAGGTACAGGAAAAAGGGAAGGCAAGCAGAGCAAGGAAAGAGGGGGAAGGGAAACAACTATGGCAGAAGTCAGTTCCAAGGAGGTGAAGATGTTTTCATTGAGAGAATTGGAAGCTCAAAGTGGAAAGCCACCATCTATGGAAGGAATTGAGTGAGTCCAGCCGGGAGTAAGATGTTTACTTCATGTACATATCTTAAAACTTCCAGATAAAATCCTATCAGACCTGTGCAACTGATGCTTACTTTGTAGCAATGATCTCGAAGTTCTGGCTCCAGCAAAGATGGAGTAGCTCCATGGCGGACTCCATTGTAAGATAGTCTTCTCACAATTAAGGAGAAAAAAATCAACAAACAACAACAAAAATTCTGGACACCACACAACAAGCAATCACAGAAAGGCCTTAACAATGAAAGCAGGTGGGTGTACTGGGACCCTGGGATTCTCCCACTGGGAAACTGAGCTCTCACTCAGGATCAACATGACAGGGAAAGGTAGTACCATGCAGGACTGCTGATATACCACTTCTCTCTTTCCTTGTTTGAGCCTGTGATAAGCATCCATTCCCACCTAATGTCAACAAGCCTCAATGAGGTAAAACTCCACCTCTTTCCCTTCTCTCTGTCTCTCTGATGTCAGCAGAGAAGCTTGGAACTGAGTTTATAGACCAACCCTTTAGCAGCAAGTGGTATTCTGGGTGTCACCACAGCACAGCTGATTTCACACTAGGAGGCAACATGGTGTGACTTGGTACTGCACTTCTACCAAAAAGGTGCATGCAGGAGCCAAGGTGAGGAGCTCTCCTTCACTCTACTCCTTCACAGAAGGCAGTGTGAAGATCACTTTTGACAGGGAACTACCAGTGAGGTCCAGTGCAAAACTAAATATATACCCACCTGACTCTAATGTCATACCTTATGAAGGGGTAACTGTGTGTCATAAAAATAATAATTTGAGCAACTGGTAGTTGGCTCAGCAGTCAAGAGCACATATTAGTCTTTCAGAGGACCTGAGTTTGGCTCTCAGCATTCACTTTGGGTAGCTCACAACTGCCTGTGACTCTAACTCCAGGGGATCTGGTGCTCTCTTCTGGACTCCATGGGCATCTGAACTCACTTGCACATATTCCCACACACATACATATTTTTTAAAATAAAAATAAATTTGAAAAATAATTTGAGAGAATACTGAGTTTCATAATACTCAAAATGTCCAAGTGAAAATGATAACTTACTTATTACACAACATCCTAAGAACCAGGAAAATTACAGCTTGAATGTGAAAAGACAGTACATGTCAACACTAAGATGAATTCAAAGCTAGAAATATCGGAAAGAATTTTAAAACAGCCATAGTTTAAAAAAAAAAGGCTTCAAGAGGCAATTATCAATTCTCTTAAAAACAATTTAAAAATTAAAAAATCTTAGGAAAGAAACAGGAATGAAGGAATGATGCATGCCATGCCATGAATGAACCTAAAAATCATTGCAAGTAAAATAAGCTATTTACACACAACACCCCACAGATTGTGTATGATATACCATTTATAGGAAATTCCAAAAGAGAAATGTCTGTAAAAACAAATTATATTTACTGATTGTCTGGTGCTAATGATGGAATAAAATAAGGGTGACTAACAGTGTACACTTCTCTTCAGGATAATAAAAATCTAAAATTATACAATGGTGGTGTTTATTCAATTCCAAAAGCATACCAAAACTCATGTGCAGTTAAGATGAGTGTAACTTCGGGCCTGTAAACTGTATCTCAAGACACTTGAATCTGTATTACCAGAAATTTGTTTTAAAAAAAGAAATTAAACTAAAAAATATATACAGTATCTGAAAGAAAAGCTTGCTGGAGAATCTCAATAGTGGAAAAGTGGCAGGACAGCAAATAGAAATAAACTAGAAGACAGAGCAATAAAGCTTACACAGACAGGAAGACCCAACAGGGACGACCACAGTGCTCTTCCATCAGAGTTCCAGGAAGATACATATGAGTCGAGAATGATCCTAAGAGCCAAGGGCTGAACACTTCCTACACTTTTTCAGGTGTCAGTTGTCAATACAACATCCAGTGGGGATTGAACAGGAGACAAAGACATTTTAGACAAATAAAAACTAATAAGAATTTGCTGATACTTTCAGATCTGCCCTGAAGACTAGCTAAGGGAGTTTTTCCAAGAAATGAAATCATTTTTAAAAGTGTCTCGGACCGTGCAAGGAAGAAAAAAAAAAAAAAGCAAAAGCATGAGCATATACAATGACTTTTCTCTTTTCCCAAGTTTTATAAATCTTAAAAAATATTTTCATTACTGAAAACAGAAGTATACAACAACTTATACTCAAAAGGAGATAACTAGATATAAATAGAATAGTTTCTATAATCAAATTGCCAAAATGTTGGTATAGACTGTGGTATGTTTTATATGTAACATTTAACATCTAAAGCAAGAAAACTATACAAAGCATTATATAGAAAGCACTATAAGTCAAGACAAAACACTTTTTAAAAAGTGTAAGGAAAAAATAAGGAGGGGAAAACGATTATGAGAAACTGGGGATCTGGGTGATACTGAAAATAAAACTAGCAATTCTGAGTCCAAATGTCAATAATTACCTTAAATGTCAATGTTCAAAATGCAGCAATTAGTAGATACTAACAGGGTAGACATGAAATGTTGTCACACAGTATGCTGCCTACAAGAAACTCATTTAAAATATGGTAGTGTGGAAATGCTGAGAATGAGAAGGTGAAGAATACATTATCACCCAACTTCAGTAATGTCAAAGTTGGTAAATTAGCATCAGATAAAATAGACTTTAGTGCACTTATTAATAGAAATGGCAACATTATATGATAATGAAAGAATCAATCTGCCAGGAAGACAGACAGACAGACAGACACACACACACACACATACACACACCATTCTCAAGGTACACAAAGCAAAAACTGAAAACATAAAGAACAAATCTAAAATTATGAATTGGAGTTCAGCTCCCCAGTTCCAGCAGCTGAATTACTAGATAGAAAAGTGTTAAAGACATGACGCCGTCTAGCACAGCTCTCTAAGATGATGTATTTAGCACCCAAGGAAAAGTCAGCCTGATAGCAGCAGAATAAATATCTTAAGAGCTCACGGAATACGGACTAACACTGACCTACTCTCAGAACAGCCATGAAACAAACTTCAACAAATTTAAAAGAACAAAAGTACAGTGTGCTTTCTTATTACAGTTACATCAACCTAAATAGGTAGGGAACCAAACTAAGCACCAATCTGACCAAAGAGGAAGCTTCATACAAAAATTTTTAAACACCTACAACTGGATGGAAACTAAATACAACATGTCAAAATATGTGGAGTGCAGTGAAAACAGTTCTGAGGGGAAATTATAGCTGTAGATATATACATTAGACAACAACAAAAGTTTCACATCAATAAAGTATTTCCTCACTCCCAAAACAATAATGAAAATGAGATCAACATAAATTTGATAAAATCTGAAGGGAATAAATAACAAAGACAGGCCAATGAATTAAAACACCATTCCTTTGGAAAAAAATGTCAGAAAACCCAACAAATTCCTAGTAAGACAAACAAAAAGTGAAATGTAGAAGATTCAGTAACCAAAGTCAGGAATGGAACAGGGACATCACTTCAGATCCTGCTCTAATCAGAGACAATAAGGAAATGAGGAAAACAACATTTTTCTTTTATTGAAAATAGATTTTTATATAATATATTCTGATTAAGATTTCCCCTCCCTCTACTCCTCCCAGTCCCTTCCCACCTCCCCTCCCATCTGAATCCACCCCCTTTCTGTCTTTCATTAGAAAACAAACAGGCTTCTAAAGGACAATAATAAGGTAAAATAAAATAAAAGAGATTAAAAAAAAACCAAATTGGAATATGACAAAACCAAGCAAGTAAAAACATGCATATAGATGCAGACACACACGAGTTTACATACAGAGGAATCTCATAAAAACCCAAAACTGGAAGCCATAATATAAAGGACTTATAAGGTAGAAAACAAATGCCCTGATTTAACATATGGCAAAAAAAAAAAATCCTCCAAAGCTGCTGTTGAGTTTGTTTTGTGTTGACTGTCTACTACTGGGCATGGGCTCTGCCCTTAAGAATAAGTACTGCACCCGGTAGAACCCTATTATAGTTGAAATTTGTTCTGTGCCAGATTCCGTGAAGGAAATTAAAAAGTAACCTACGGATCAGAGAAACTCTGCAAATATCAACAAAAACCTTTCATAAACAATACATAGAGAACTACCCAGAGCCAATAGTAAAAACAACAAAAAGCACCCAGAAAACAGACAGAATACAGGAACAGACATTTCTCTGGAGATGATATAGGGATGACAAGCACATGTAAATATATTCACCACCAGGATCATTAGCCACTGAAGCTTGCAAAATAAAATCACGGAACCACTGTGAGATATCACTAAATACCTACCAACACGGCTAACATTAAAAGTGTCCATAATGCCCAGACGTGTAGTAGATACAGAGAAATTGGATTACCCATTTTGCTAGAAGAAATGTGTAACTGTTTAGTTACTCTTGAAGAATATGTATGCATTCTTTTTTCAAAACCAAGCATTTTCTTACCACATGCAAGCCAGAAATTGCACTTGCCATTTTCTAAAACATAGGTTCACATAAAAACCTGTACATAAATATTTGCAGATTTATTCATGATAGACAAAAGTGGAAACCACCAAAATTTCTTCCCCATCTTTCAGTGGATAAGTGGTTAAATGAACTGGGGTGTATTCATATCATAGAATGCTACTCAGCAAAAAAATGAAACAATTTTCTCATATATGCAACAACCAACAACATGGATGGTTCTCAAGTTAATGATCTTGAGAAAAAGCTAATTCTTAAAAGTTGCATACTTTATTCCATTTATACACTATTCTCAAAATGACAAAATGGCAGATATGGGGCGCAGGGCAGTAGTTTTCCAAGTATCAGGGGCCTGCAAAGAGGGAGGTGATTATGACTATGAAAGAGTATCACAAGGAATATGATATCTCAGCTGTTGTGATGGTCAAATGAATCTACAGTACACATGATAAAGTTGTATATAACTAAAGCCAGGTATGATGGGGCATGCCTGTAATCCCAACACTTGACACTCAGATACAGAAAGTCTACAACTTCAAGACCAGCTTGGACTATACAGTAAGAACCTGCCTCACAAATTAAAAGTATATTAATATATACCCACAACTGAATGAAAATGCAGGATTTGAATTCTGAATAAGATTAATGAGTTTATTAATATTCATTTGTGATATATCATAGCTATTAAATATGTCTCTGGGCAGAGAAATTAAGTTAAAGGGATTTGTGGTTTTTATGTTTCTTACATCTGCCTATAAATACACTATTGTTATCTCAATAGAAAAATTGGAAAACAAAGTCTCATATTTATTTTAGAAAAATGTGTTCCGAGCCGGGCAGTGGCGCACGCCTTTAATCCCAGCACTCGGGAGGCAGAGACAGGCGGATCTCTGTGAGTTCAAGGCCAGTCTGGTCTACAGAGTGAGATCCAGAAAAGGCGCAAAGCTACACAGAGAAACCCTGTCTCGAAAAACCAAAAAAAAAAAAAAAGAAAAAAAAAGAAAAATGTGTTCCAACATATATCAGAAATTACATTCAATCATGCCCCTAATTTGATTTAGCTCAGAATCCTCAGTCATTTATGTATGCAGTGCTCACAGATCTCACTGTGGTAGCTGATGATGGATTCAGTAGTGAAAACAGCCTGGGTCCTGTGTTAATCCTGAAATTTAGCAGAAAAAAACAGGCCTACCATTTAGGCCAAATTTATGCAAGCTTTTAGTAAAAACATAAATACTGACCAAGATGGAATTTTGGTCAGGACCATCACCTGGAAATTTCCGAGGTAAGTGGCCTTGAGACACGTTTTGATTGAATTTATATGGGCAAAAGTCACAGGCCACTGTACTTTCCCACGAGGCTTTGTTGCTATTTTCCAAGATCTCCAGGAAGTTACCTGGTCCTTGGGCAGGTGGGGATTAGAGGTTAACTTCTGGTCTAACACCTGTTTTCAGGAACTTTCAGATGAATGATGTGGAAAAAGCTAGATGTTCAAAAATGGTCATTACATGCCCAGTCCTTGAAGTGACAACTAGAATTCACTTAGAAGTCTAATACAAGAAAAGTTAAGTCACTTTAGAAATGCCACATGTCCATGAAAACAATTACGGATATTATTTTACAGAGTAGAGGAATGCTTATAACACCAAGGGAGCATTAAATTAAAGGTCATGGATCCATTACTACTATGACAATTAATGACAACACATTTTATATGAATAAACTTTTATTGAATTTTAGGCAATTAGAAAGAATAAAGAAATGCAAGATAAATGCTTTCTAAACAGCATCTGATAGTATTATTTCTTCTGTGGCATGGTATTTTCACTTTTCTTTAAAAAGTATAGACATTCATTTATTTAAATTTTTACAAAGTCAATAACCATCAAATGAAAAAAAAAGTAACACTATGGTAAATTCATCTTCTTATCAACATTGAAATGGTCACAGTAGTAAAGTTCTGAGTGTGGCCCTCTTGGAAAAACAGTATAGGCAATCAATCACTGTTGGTTTCCATTCCCTGCAATAACTGAAGCCAGGAGGCCACTCCCTGTGAAGACCATGCCCACAGGCAAGGAAGGCAAGAAGACTGCTGGAAGAGGGACAGAGGGAATGTGAGAAAAGAAAAAAAAAAAAAAGGTTCTTTGAAAATTGTGGGCTCAGTACAAACAACTTAAAAAACAAATCTTGGAAGAAATCACCATCACGAGTTGCCCTAAAGTGTGATTAAGGCAAGATAGTCAACAATACAAGTACAGCCACATACACACAGCACAGTCTAGAGCAGAAAGTCTGTAAATGAATCTGGTGAATTGCAAGGCTAGCCAAGCCAAGTAATTAGCCAATAAAAAAAAAAAAAAAAAAAAAAAAAAAGATGGGGGAGGTGTCTTTTTACACTGGTCTGCAATGAGTTTTGGCAAAATTGCCCACCCACATTTTCAGACGCTGAGCAAACCCCCAAGAGCACACTGGAAGATCTGGAAGACCTCCCATTTGTCCAACCCTTATTATTCTTTTGCAAAAAAAGAATTCTTTTGAAAGAAACAAAACCAAAACAACTCCTGCCCTTTCTGTAACAACCTACTAACCTCTACTTGTCAAACAAGAGGGAATTATCCTCCTCAGTACAAAAGACATCAGGCCCTGCCCTCATTAAAAGTGACCTGTGTGACAGCAGGGTTGCCATACACAACAACCTTGCTTCTTTGGGGCCCTGTTTGCAAGGCAAAGGCCCCTCCCACCTGCCTCCGATCTGTTTTCTGGACAGCCTACTTAATCCCCTGAACCGTGAAGGCTTTCTGCCCAGTCACCGAGTACAATCACTGGACAAGATGTTAAGTTCATGCTTTCCTAGTCCACTGTTTCTCAAGTATTTAAAAAAAAATAGTTTTCTTTTAAAAAAATATTCTTTTCAAGAAATCATGAACAGTAATTGCCATGGACCTGCAAGAGATCCCAGAGTAACACAGACAAGAATCTGTCAATATAGCAAAATCCCAGATATGGAAGTTCATGGTTCAGGAAGAGGTAAATAAATAAGTGTGTAGGGCGTTCACAAGATGTTTCCTTATTTTTCCCCATTTCTAGCCAAATTGTGTTCTGTACAAAGTTTCACCTCTATGATAAAGAGCCAGCCCAGTAGGAATGCATTGCTAATACCATTAAGCCCTCACTATTAAAGGGAGGTGGGAGAGGCAGAACAGGCCACAAGCTTGCTCTGTTTGTTTGTTTTGTAAAGACACCTATTTTAAAAAGTAATTTCATTATTTAAATTCCACCTGGCACTTAAAGTTTGTTGAAAATAATTAAGTTAGGCAAGAATTAAAGAACAGGCCCACTGGACCACGGTTTGGGTCGTAAGTGCTATTCTGCTTCTAGAAATCTCCTTGGCTTGGCACATCATTTGAGACACAGTATTTTTTAACTGAATCCCAGGACAACTGTGGTGGGGAAACAATCTTCTTGAGTCTTCATGACGAAATATTCCAGGCCGCGTCACACATTGCAGTGGCCAGGCAATAGCACCACCCTCTTGGTGCTTTTTTACTAATGTAATCATAACAAAAGTCTATCTTTCCAGCACTCACCCACCCCTGCTCTCCCCCTTGTTGGGAGGCATTCCATTTATTCTCTTCTGGACACAGCATCCTCAAACATCCTACACCAGGGATCCTGCCCGACTCTGGGCAGGCACCATGACTGGTACTGCACCAATGCGCTCCAGGGTCACTTGGCTGACAGTATAGGAGTGTGTGTGCTGAGGCCAAGGTTTCCTGCTGACTGAACCATTGTTCCTGGGCATGACCTGGGGTGATGACCCCCTGTTGGTTGTCACTACCAGAGTCTTATGTGGACCAGAGACCAGATGGCTCCCATTTGCATAGATGGATGGGATAACGGCATTGCCAGAGAAAGACTGGCGTAAGTCACTGAAGTGGTTGAAGGACTCTGTGTTTCTATGGGTTTTGGGATTGTTGTTCCAGTATCGACTGTTGTAGGTATTGGAAGAGGTCAACGTGTTATTTTCTGAGGAGGATACCTCTGTGTGAAATGCTTTGGCAGAAGAGCATTTAGGTGGAAGATCATCCTCTCTGAAATGAAACAAAGATAAAGTTATATATAACTGAAATATATGTAATATACAAATATAGACAAACACACACACACACATACACACACATACACACACACACACACACACACACACACACACACACATCTTTTAGCTATAAAGATAACAACCCACAAAGAAATTCACTGAATTATACCCAGGAAAGCAAGTTAAGCACGTGAAGAAGTTGAAAAAGTCAATCGTGGTGTCTAGACTGTATACTAGCAGAACTTGAAGAACCATGGTGGTGTGTTGGTGATGGGCTAAAGGATGGAACAGGGAGAGCTGGCAGCAGAGAGGAAGGCCAGAGAAGGAAGGGAAACCAAATTCAGAAAGGTTGAGTACGCCGAGAAGTCACAAGTCATTAAAGCATATCAACAAGGATACGATGTAGTCAAGTCTGAGACAGTCTAGACTCTCAAATCCCATGAGCTATTTTTCTTTAAAGATCATCTTGACATTTTTTTCCCTTAAAACATTTGTATTCTCTTACAAGTTGCCTGTTATATTTTTTATGCCTTGTAATATCCACTAAGGGACTAAGATTAAGGGTTGAAAATTCATCTCCATTGAGGGTTTTGTTTTGGTTTGGTTTTGTTTTGTTTTTCGAGGGTGAAATATAATTAACTATGACACTGAGAAGAAGGAGTCCTGGCTGGTGTTTAGGACTAGATAAGGACATCAGGATAGGGCACAATGACTGAATCCCAGCTGCTTTGTGAGAAAAGAAAGATCCAACAGATACATACACACCATCTCTCTCTGGGTGATGCTATGCCCTGCCTTGTGATTCAGACAGGAAGCCTCCACCAGTCGACAACCCCTAGAGATAGCCCCTCCAGCAGCATCAACCAAAAGTATTTTTACGTAAAGTAGGATGCCTAGTGTATATTATTATATTGTTGAAATATGATTAATGTGCTCCTTCATACCAAGCCACAGCGCAGCGCATAAGTAGGAGGAGAAACTGGTATGTTTGTGAGGTAATCCCCTTTACTTCTGCATGTTCCCATCTATTATAATGGCCGACATAAAACACAGGTTTTATGGGCTAACTCTTCTGGTGTGACAGTCAACTACCTACCCTGCAGATGTGGGGCCCAGGGGAGCTCTTCATGCTACTCAGGTTCATAAAGGATCTTTGTAAATAAAAAATGAGCATGATCATGAGGAAAAGGGATATACGTAACAAGAAAATGGCATCTGGACATTTCCATGACCTTGATCAAAGGAGTTATAAAACTGGCGAAGAAACCTTAACTCTAAACTAGAAATCCCCATGACTCTGCTAGATGAGGCATCTGATCGACTAACCTGATTTCATTAGGAATCTCTTCCTCCTCCTCCTCTTTATTTTTGCTTCTCCAGTAAAAGAACGCCCCTGAAATCAGCGCGATGCAAATGATGACGAGAACCACACCGGTACCGACAGCTCCAGCTATTACTCCAACGCTTCGGGGCTGGGCTGCAAAAGATATGTAAGGTAGATTCAAGGAAATGAGAAAGAAGCAGCACACGCCGTGCAGCAATAGTCACACAAATAAGGCTGTTTAAAATGTACAAAACTATCCCACAGGAAGTCAGAGCTTGCCTAACCCTTAACATTCCCAGTAGGCTTTCCGGCAATCATTGAATGAGGAAAACACCGAAACCTCCCAAGGCCCCAGAAGAGCAGCAGCTTGAGCAGGGCGGGCCACAGTGCCTACCCAACCAGCCTTAGTGCCCCAAGAGAGCCTTGGAGTTCAGATATTTTATGGCCTCACCCCAGTCACATGACTCCCTTCTCCAACCAGAATAAGTATAATCTAGACTTCCCCACCAAAAAGAAGGGCTCTGCACTGCTTGTTTATAACTGAACACCCAGAAGATCTAAGGGGTTAGGGGGAGTAGGGGACACAAGAGTATTATGAGAGCTCTACCATGACTACAGATTTATGTCATGTCCACAGCACCCTGACATGAAGATTAGTTTGGCTCTGATGGTCCTGAGAAGACACTTTGTCACTAGGATGAGCATATCAAGGAGCCTTAAGTAGTAACTTTTTTTTTTGGTTTTGCGAGACAGGGTTTCTCTGTGTAGCTTTGCGCCTTTCCTGGATCTCGCTCTGTAGTCCAGGCTGGCCTTGAACTCACAAAGATCCACCTGCCTCTGCCTCCCAAGTGCTGGGATTAAAGGCGTGCGCCACCACCGCCCGGCAAGTAGTAACATTTTTATAAAACGTTTTCAACAATGAGTAAAAGAATTTGTTTACTCTTCACACTCTCCAAACCATTATGATGAACCCCTGCATTTTATGACTTAACAAAGGCCTTAGACATCTGCACCTTGAGGTGGCCTGCTAATTCTATGTACTTACGTGAGATAACCTGGAGATCCAGGAGACAAGTGCTCGTCCCGATGGCATTAGAAGCCACACACTGATACAGACCCGAAGACAGGGCACTGATATTCCGGATGGTGACTGTTCCCTGGACCTGGTCTGTCACAAAGACAATAATCAAGTGACAGCTTGATGGAATGAAGAAGGAGAACAAAGAAATCAGCACAAAGATGCCATCGTACACACACTGGAGAGTTGCTAATTTTCTTCCTTTTTTTTTTTTTTTAATGGGAGGAGAAATTGTTGGTTCACAAATGTTAAAGAAAATCATGACAGCATATTAAAGACAGAACTATTAAAGACTGTCCTAAATAAGAACACCCTTGGAACTTGAGCTCCAGACTGGTGGATCACAGCCTAATGTTAGTGGTCTTCCCTGACTAGGGAGGTTATGGCTTGTCCTTGACAGTCTGTGATCAGAAGCACCATGTTGTAACCCTAGGGAAATGCAGTGACATGAAGATCAGAATACAGTGTACACAGTTCATTTTATGCATGACAGAGAAAGAATCAACTCTATGCTCTAATTGTAGGTATCACAAAATGTTGCAAGGGGAGCAGAAGGGAGTCTGGAAAAGGGGAACCTTAGACCACAGCACCATTTCACAGAATTTCCCACCGGGCATACAGAGCATTCTTGAGCCCAAGTCATCTACTGAAGGCACACCACGCCCTTGCAGGAAGAGCCTACATTAGCAGCTCCATTGTGCCCCTTAACTCTCTAGGAGTAGCTCAGGGAAGCTTGGTCTTGATGCAGAGCAACAATGGATCCAGAGTAGAAAATGTCAGAGTAACCAATGAGTGTTGCTCCCCACATAAGGAGATTTTTGTTCTGTGCTTTATTTTCAAAGCCACCACACTGGCATACTGAGAAAGGCTCTAACTGGGCAACTCAACAGTACCAACACAGTTTAGTCATTTATTCCTACAAAATTTAAATGACTCACCACAATAGCAAAAATATGCCAAGCATTGGGTACACTTTTATATGTAGCTGTTTTTCCAATGACCCTTTGAGATATTTTTATTATTAGCCTACTGAACAAATAAAGACACTGAAATTTTAGCTAGCTGGCTAATAAGAGTGCACAGCTGGTTGCTAGAAACTGCAACTGTATGGATGGCCGTCTGTTATCTTTGCTCTGGGCCTTACTGCCTCCCTTTAGCTGGAATCAGAAACACCCAGAAAATTGCAAATTTAATGGCACACGTGAAAAGCACCAGACACAAAGTCCAAGAATTCCTGAGCCTATATTGGGAACTGTCCCCACCCTGGCTTGACTTTTATATGGCACTAAGATTTAGTTATCTGCTAGTGACTTTCATCTTTATCTACATCAAAGCCAGAGGGGCCTGGCTTTATCAGTTCTTCCATTCACTTCATAAATACTTATGGAAACTATCTCTCTGGGCTGGGTAATCCAGAGAAAAGTGCCAGGACTATCAACAGGACAGACCCTAATGAGGTAAGGAGTCTCAGTAAGTGGGTTAAATGCCAGCCAGGGCTACAGACCTCAGGTTGCTAATGGTGCACAAGGGAGGACCACCTAATGAGCACCTGGAAATTGAATAGAATCCAGGCGAGGAGGAAACCACAGCCACAGATCCTCATATATCAATGCTGTCAGGGTTGTCTAAGCCTTCAAACATAATACAGTGGGATGAGTTCATGAATGATGGACTCATCAAACATACTTGAAGTAAGATCAATATCACAGGCCAGACAAAGGAGAGAGTCTTAGTATTTGCCCTTTCTGTGGGAGTGAAAAGTTAAGTCTGCATTACATGGATATCGTATATGGATTGGACTGTACATAGCTAAGTCAATATACTTAATGGTTACTTGTTTTGCACACATTATTCCCTTTTCAAGTGTTTTGTGAGAGGGAGCTTTAAGTAGGCCTGATTTAATCTTCATAACATGCTTAGTTTCTATGTTCCCTGCTTTCCAAAACTGAGAAATCTCAGAGTAGCCATGACATCACATGTACGCGAGTCACAGATCATAATCTTCATAAATGCACTTGCCTTCCAACAAGATACTTAACACTACCTCATTACACGGGTGCATTTCTACACAGCACCTAACCATGCAAAGGGCCAGCACTGTTGGTAAAACCAACCAACTATCTGCAGAACTCCTCCTTCAAACATCCCAAAGTCTCCAGCCAACAAAGGCACCAACTGTAGGGTGAACAGCCCTACAATCCCACACACCGCTACTTGGTTTTCTTCCATTTTTTCCCTTAAGGCCCAAAACTCTAAAAATTCAATCAGTTCACACCAAGCCACTAATTGTGTTGAGACAACTGGGGGAGTTTTAAACAGCTCCTCTAAGCAGCTCTTGGGCATGTACAAAGCAGTCAGTCAACTCAAAGGGATGCTGCTGTAAAGAGTTACTCTAAAAGGCGAGGCCACCAATCTTTTTTTTTTTCTTTTTTCTGTTGTCTTCAGATGCAGACACCAAGAGCATTTGCTGTGGCTCAATGAGGCTGACGTGCCATGGTACAGCTTACTCCGATGTAATCAGATGACAGATGAGACACACACACTGATAAGGAAGGATTAAGAAGAAACAAATCAGGAAAGCTGAGCTGGGGCAAGCCCTCAGCAAACACCAGACTGCAACAGAAAAGAAACATCCCACCCTGAGACCAGTCAGGCCTGTGTTAGGACAGGAGCAATTAGCTGACATGAAGGATGAGGGGGTGCTAGCTGTCCCTCTGAACTTCCCTCTTCCAAACACGGACATGTGGTCTGGGGCACTATCGTGTGGGAGGGTGAAAAAAAAAAAAGAGCCAAACCCACTGTTTTGGTTTGCACAAGCAATTACACACAGGCTGTACACATGGCCTAGCAGACCCTTCAGAATCTGAGACACAAACAGATGTGATTCTTCTCGATTCTATCTGCTCTTCTCAGTTCCAGAGCCATTTCTGACTTTGTTAATTTGGATTTCTCCCTTGTAAGAAAGCATCAGGCTACAGTGATTTCTAAGATTTCCCCCTGTTCTAGCTGTGTGGTTTCTAACAAAGCTCTGCATAGAGGTCTCAAGCAAGCTGAAGAGACCATTATATTCTTCCCCTGTGTTCAATTATGAAAAAAATGGAACTGATCAAGTTGTTCTCAGAAATATACGAAAAGATGTATAATTTAGCTTTGGACTATAACTGTGAACTATTGATAAATAAAGTTATAATGTTCCATTTTCCAAAGGAAAGAATATTAGAAATTAATTGTCATTATTTGCCCTAATTTTTTTTTTTAAAAAATGATATTTTAGGTTCTCCAAATTTTGGATTTGTGAGGGTTTTTTCTTCCTCTGTGAGTCAGAGCAGAGGGATGCAGTTCTAATTATATCCCAGTTATATCCCACAACTTTTCTTGCGGAGTTCAAATTTTCCCAGGCCACTGAGAGGAGCCACCAAGTTTACCCAAGCCCTTGACTACTAAGGGGCGGAATACAGAACAGGTGTCACTCCTGGAACCAGTCACCCTGGGCAGCATGAGCTACATCCTTCTTGGTGTGTTAATGAGCTGTTCAAGTGGTTTTCTGGCTGTATATTAGACATATTTATTTAAAGCATGGATGCTCGATTTGACTCCAGACCATTTGAATCAGAATATTTGGAGAAGGTCATGGGAATCGACATGTAGTATAGACTTACGGGTGATTTTTATGCACAGTAAGATATACACAGTTGTGTTAGAATATGTACTACAAATTACAGTGTCTGGCAAATTATATTTTTTTTCAAAATATCTTACATTGGATTAAAAAGTCTGCCTGGAATGTTCACTTTGTGGCACATCATTCGGAATAGCTATCAATGTTGCCCAACACAAAATCATAAAATTACTTAAAACATTATGAGATTTTTTTTTCCTGTATGAACTTTGGCAACATCATGTCATAGACAGAACAAATATAAAGATATATTTTTATGAAGACTTCTTATGACTTAGCAGAAATTACAAAACTACCTCCTAAAATATATTAGGCCAAAACTAAAGTCACAATTTCAAAGCAGTTCAAGAATACAGTAATGGGAGATTAAAATCTACAACATAATCCCAATAAAAATTGTGTGAAATGAATGTTTATGATATGGAAAATGGCCATCATATATTCTTTCATTAAAAGTACCAGGTTAAAAAACAATATTGACATGAAACCAAAAGAACAAATACATTAACATATGGATACCAGATTGGTGGCAGTTAAGCACAATGCAGTGTTAGTGGTAACTACCTTCTCGTCCATATGATTCTGTTCTAAGGCTCCTCGGCTTTCAGCTTCTCACGCCGTGTGCTAGGTGCATCTCTAATAATAGGGTGTTTGTCGATTCAGTTTGATTTCTAATCTGTAACCTAAGAGCCTCTATCCTTTGATTATCTGAATTAATTCTATTGGTCATTACTGTGAGCATGTCTAAATCTACTTGATTTTGTTCTAGTTCTAGGCCTTCTGGCTACTGACTCCAGCTCCACCCATACCTTCTACAGTGATTTAATGGGGGTATGTCTGGCTGTTATAGATAGGATGTCATGTATTCCAGGCTGGCCTAGAACTTGTTATAGAGCCCAGGATGACCTTGACCTTCTGATCCTCTGTCTTTACTTCCTAAGTGCTGGGATTACAGGCCTGTGCCACTATACCTGGTTTTATGTAGTGCTGGGGGATGGAACCCAGAGCTCCACACATGATACGTAAGCACTCTGAGCTACATGCCAAGCCCCCAAGTGTCCTCCAGCATCTTTCATTTACTCCTCTACCTTATAAGCTCTAGTTTTTTTTTTCTTAGTGGTTTGTCTTAAAATTCTTAATGATATTCAGGTGAGGTAGTGGCTCAATTCTGTAATAGCATCACTTGGGAAACTAAAATAATGAGTTCAGGACTAGCTTGAGAGACATAGTAACACCCTGTCTCAAACCCTCCCACTTCCTCCCCCACTCCCTGCAAAATAAAAACAAAAATCTTAATCACTGATTTGTGGGGCCCTACTACGAAACTATAAAAAGAGTCTGTTATCAACAACCGTTTGCTTATGACTCAGGCATCAGTCAACGTTGCTGTTAGTATTGTATCATTTCTTCAATGTGCATTAGTCAGCATTCTGCTGTAAGACAATGCACCACTGTCTTCATTTACACTTCTCATTCCATTCTGTGGATTATGTATTCATATCACCCCAGATTTTCCAGGGGGAGCTCCTTCAAGCTCTATGTATAAAAGGCACTACTTATTCCAAAATAGTGTTCTGTGACTGGCCAGACTCATAGGATGCCCTCCCTCCCCTTGTACCAAATATTGTTTCCTCAGAAAATGCATTAGGGTTCAAATTTTAAAATATTGTACATATAAGCAGTAAGGTAAATCTTCTAGTTAAAAAAAAGTTATTTAAGTTGTTTTAGGGATGAATGTCAAGATCTACTTTGTTAATATAGGTATCAAGAAATGAAACTGGAGATGGGCCGGGCGGTGGTGGCGCACGCCTTTAATCCCAGCACTCGGGAGGCAGAGCCAGGTGGATCTCTGTGAGTTCGAGGCCAGCCTGGGCTACCAAGTGAGTCCCAGGAAAGGCGCAAAACTACACAGAGAAACCCTGTCTCGAAAAACGGAAAAAAAAAAAAAAAAAAAAAAAAAAAGAAAGAAATGAAACTGGCCGGGCGGTGGTGGCGCACGCCTTTAATCCCAGCACTCGGGAGGCAGAGCCAGGCGGATCTCTGTGAGTTCAAGGCCAGCCTGGGCTACCAAGTGAGTTCCAGGAAAGGCGCAAAGCTACACAGAGAAACCCTGTCTCAAAAAAAAACCAAAAAAAAAAAAAAAAAAAAAAAGAAATGAAACTGAAGAAAAACCATGGCACATTTAATGAGAACAAATACGGTTATCTGAAGTACTTCTGATAATTTATCCAAAGACTGAATTACAAAAGACCACCATTTTCATCGTTGACATTCAAGTCCATTCATCTTTATCTGTGAAATACTAAAGAATTTTCAAGTTGCAAATATAGACTCTTCTAAAACAGGGAGATACAGGAAGCCCTTGCCACATCTATCTCTCAGTCCACACAGATAGGACTGTCAGATGTTTGCCCCAATTTCACCCTTTATCCAGTGTTCCACAGGGATGACACAGATGGAAAGTACAGAACCACAATGATTTTCAGAGGTTCTAGATGATACTGTCAACAAACCCTTCATCTTACAAAAAGGTAACACAGGTCTGGAGAAGTAAACTATTGTAGACAGAGTTACTGGAAAAGCTGGACTTCAAACAGTTTTCAGCATTTCAACAGGAGCTATTTTAAGCATGCCACTTACAATAGTGAGATTAACAAGTCAGTCCACAAGAAAGCTATTTATCCCACAGTGTAGCTGAAACATTTAGCGATGAACAGGCGTTGGGTGGGGGGGGGTGGGGGAAGAGGGGGTACTGCGGCAGTCACTACAAAAGTGGCCTAAAAGCCATTAAGCTGAAAATAAGGTTTTAAAACTAATGAATTGGGGGCTACATGAATTAAAAGGAGAGTCCATCAGTGTCCCTCTGGATTCCATAGGGAGTTTACTTACGGCTCTTTAGAAGGATGGAGCCCTGGTTCTTAACCACATCTAATGTCACCCAGCAGCCCAGGGCCTTCCCTCCTTGTGACAGGCACAGATCATCAGGACAATTCAAACTAAGGCACAGCTAACGCCATCTGGGGCCGTTTTATTAAGGGCTAGCTCTCAATAAAGAGTTGGCAATCTACCCCAAGAACGAGATGAGGAAAATAGTCCGAATTAAAGATAACACAGCACTCAAGGACGCTGAATTGGATTTTCTTGTAACACAAGGCTTTACACAAGCCTATAACTTCATCTCATCTCATTTCATAATATCTGAGGTTTTCAAAGATACGTTCTTTATAATCAAATCCAGATGAATGGATTTGCATATCCAGAACCACCCATGGCATGCATGGCTCCTCACCTTTACCTATCTGGTATGAGCTTAGGTCATGGGTCCCTTTCCTGTTCCTTTTCATCTTCTTCCTCTACGTAGACTTGAGGCTGAAACAGGAGAATTAATCCTCTTGTGTCTATGCAGATCTCTCTCGCACTAAAATAGGCACCTGTACTGTACCTCAAGCAAAAAGTGGGTTCATAGAGGTGTCAAGAACTGTCCTAGCGTTAACTCAAAGATGTTACTGGTGTGCTATTTTAAATCTTCACTGAAGAAATAAAATTTTCATGTTAGTAGATACATTTCTTTAAAGTCATAGAGGGAAGAGAAAGGAAATGTCATATTCACCTTAAACTTGAAAGGTTTCAATATTCTCTGTAGTTACAAACTATTAAAGTTCATGACTTTCCTCAAGTGCTAATCAAACACGTTTCGCAGCACTGTACATACCCTGAGTGGCCGTTGGAGGTAGCTTGAGCGTATTATCTAACTTCTCCCAAAGATAAGTGGGCCGAGGGATGCCTTCCTCTGAACTACACAGAAGGATGACGTCACTGCCGATGTCCTGGGATCCTTGGATTTGGCAGTGTGGAGCAGAAGGGGGAACTGTCACGGGAAGAAGTAACATGAATTCACTTTTACCGAGAGCCAATGAGACAGGAATGTTCGCCTTGGGGAACCACAGGCAACAACTGTGGCTCACTTGGGGAGACACCAGGGGACAATCAAGCATCCACTCCCAGGGCATGGTGATGGACACAAGACTTGCAAGCGCCATAGGCAGGGAGCAAATCTACAAAAGGAGCCATGGCTTTTGGTTACATTTTAAGGTATCTTAGAGTCTTGGTTTGGATGCTCCCTCTAAAGAAGGATTCTTAAGAGCCTTCAGGTCAACACACTGCCTTTAATGACATTGCTGAAAGGACATAGTCAAACCCATTTCAGGAGCAGGAATTGACCCCACTGGCAATCCTCTAACAGAGCCCGCTTTAGTCAGGTCGTCTGTTATTTTACAAAGGCTAGATGGGCCCGCTTTGTAGCGAATTCAGCTTCACGATGCTTCAACTTACAGTTAGAGAAAGCTAACAATGAGGCAGGGAACATTTCAAAATCCAAAACATTTTCCATCCCTTCAAGGCTGGCAAGGACGAAAGTAACAAGAACCCAAAAGTCACCAAAGCAACACCAAAGGGAGGAAGCGTAGGTTCACACCGGCACAAAAGCATGAACATGTAAATGAACCCCACGACATGGAGCTCCAGCTTGGTGAGGCAGGTACCACTGCAGCTTATGTACATGTGATGACGGTCTTAATCCTAATGCCTTCTCAATAAATGATTTCACCCCTTCCGAAATACACGGAAGTGCAAAATGAGTTAGAGACATCAGAAAGTGGGTGAGTGGAGGAAGAGACTCACTCTCCCAGAGGGTATAGGGGTGTAAGTAACCAGAGGCCATGGGGTGTAACTAACCAGAGGGCATGGGGGTGTAAGTAACCAGAGGGTATAGGGGTGTAAGTAACCAGAGGGCATGGGGGTGTAAGTAATCAGAGGTCATGGGGGTGTAAGTAACCAGAGGGCATGGGGTGTAAGTAACCAGAGGTCATGGGGGTGTAAGTAATCAGAGGTCATGGGGGTGTAAGTAACCAGAGGGCATGGGGTGTAAGTAACCAGAGGGTATAGGGGTGTAAGTAATCAGAGGGCATGGGGATGTAAGTAACCAGAGGGTATGGGGGGTGGAAATAATCAGAGGGCATGGGGGTGTAAGTAACCAGAGGGTATAGAAGTGTAAGTAACCAGAGGGTATGGGGGTATAAGTAATCAGATGGTATGGGGGTGTAAGTAACCAGAGGACATGGGGGTGTAAGTAACCAGAGGGTATAGGAGTGTAAGTAATCAGAGGGCATGGGGTGTAAGTAACTAGAGGGCATGGGATAAGTAACCAGAGGGCATGGGATAAGTAACCAGAGGGCATGGGGGGTGTAAGTAATCAGAGGGCATAGGGGTCTGGGAGGGCAGCTCACTGGCAGAATGCTTGCCTAGCATACATAAGGTCCAGAACTACACAAAAGAGGGCTAGGGGTTTGGGTCTGCTGTGCTGGGCTAAGGCAGCCTCCTGGACTCGGTCCATTCACCATTACCACTATGGTACTGTGAAGCAAAACTTAAAGTAATTATTTTGAGAAGACATTCACTATAAAGTAAAGGATCTTGTTCTACCTTAAAAAAAAATGTTTTTAAGCTTGGATACTGTAAGAAGTCTGTTGCTCAGTTATCATGTAAACTTCGGAATAGCAAGTATTTCCTTTAGAACTCCATATTGTACTCAGAGTACTTAGAACTATATATAACTTTAATATAATGAATGCTATCTTCAGAAGATACACCTCCAGTCTGGTCCTTAGCTTTCAGAATTACTTGAAGACTGGGAGAACAGGGCACCAAGGATTAAAGCATATTCTCCCTATTGAGGAAAAACATCAGTATCCTCAAATAACTCAGCAGTGGGAGGGGAGGAAAGGGGTGAGGAGAGGGCTAGACAGGACTATGTAAATATATGCTGGGACCTGAACAGAAGGAGGAAGGGCCTTCTCTGAGTACTTCTTCTGTCCAAATGATGAATTCAACCCCTCTACCACAAGAATCTACTTGGAAGCCACTTCTACAAGCAATCCACCTGAGAGACAGGAGAACTGAGACATCGAACAGCTGCAGGGAACAGAATTTGGTGCTGAAAGTCAAGCCACATTCTATGATATAAAGAATGCTGGCTTGAATGAGCAGATCCGAATTTTAATCTAAACATTGCTCATTTCCTGTCTTAAAGGACAAGGCCCTACATCAGTTTGGTCTCGTTTTTAAGGTGATAATCTAATGTATGATAGAAACAAGGATGTCTTTAAGAGCATAAGGAAGTAGAGTTAAAATTATACCAGGTCCACAAGTGCAAGTTGAAGGCTATGGTGACCCCACTTCCTGTCACAGATGTCGTCAGTAAAAACATTATCCTCACACATGCTGACACCTCTACTTTTTACTCACAACAAATTATTCATGATTGAGTTTTACCACAATGGAAGGCTTCTATCCTACAGGACCTTAAAGATAGTTTTTATGTCACCTTTCATCTACTGCCAGGAAATAGTATTAGGTAAATTTAAAGACCAGCTGGAGATTTAAGAATGGGAATCATAGAGAAGTCGAGGGGCATTGTGAGTAAGAAGGCAGGCAGGGAAGGAACTAAGACCACAGGGAGGGAGCAGAGAAATAAACATGAAGGACGTAAGTAAATATGCTTTAGAGCAGATTTGTAATTGAAGCCTGAGGTAGTGGGACTTGTCTGTCACTCACCTAACACTGTGAGGCCAGCAACCCCAATGTTCCTGCCCCCTCTGTCTGGAAGGTTGTTCACCAAGCACTGGTAGGTGCCCGTATCTGACAGCTGAGTGTTATTGATGAAGATGGAGACATTGGTAGCAGGCATGGTGCCTGTAAATCCTACCCTCCCATGGAACCTGGGGGCACCGTCAAACATCTGTCCACCCTGATAGAGAATGACCTGTGAAAGGAAGCAATATGTAAGTAAACTGGCCATGGTAGGCCCTCCTTAGCACATAATCTAGTAGACAGAACCAAATGTACCTGCAACAGAAAGTGGAAATTTCAATTTCTCAGGGTTGTCAACAGCTTTTGGTGACTGCCCCAACCATGAGCATCTTAGGACTCTATAAACTCTCACAACATAATTAGAATAATTTTTCCCTTCCTTAATTTATCAGAACATAGAAAATATCTTGAATGCAACCAGACTCTCAACATAAATATTTCTACTGGTGAAAAGGTTAATGGTGAGATGAAATCCAAAAGGTATTTGCATTGCTGTTCTCATGCTAATTAGGCCACAGAATGACAGATCACTCACAGGCTGAATATCCACATCATAAAAGGAAGGGAACATTGCAAGCCCATGACTACTATGCTTGCCAACTTATCAGAGCTAACAATTATCAGAGCTAACTATTCTTGGGAGAAACACAGCATATAATATAGTAGAAAGCCCCCGGGGGTTGAAAATGAGGAAGGGCCTTTCAGGATCTTCATGTGCATGTGTGGGAAACCTTAGTTTTTCTTTTAAACACTTTTAACCCATCACTGAAGCTTAAAATGGTGCGATTTAACAAAATGATCCCAAAAGCTTACTCTACTGCCAAAGTTTCATGGTTTGGAGATATACTATATCCATACATGCAATTTTCAACTAATAAATTAAAAAATAATAAATTTAAAAGAAGTTTCTACAGAATTTTGTACCAGAAAATTTACTTCACTAAATACACTAAGTAGTAAGATAAAATCAGAAGAGCTTCAGAAAATGAACGTCATCTTTGTAAATAAAACTGTGGTGATTACCACAATTAATTAACTTTATAGTGGGTATCTGAGATTAATTTTTTTCCTATAACTGATACAGATTTCTGGAGGAGCTTCCATTTTTACATGTCTCCTTCTGTGTGGCACACTCTCACTCTCATTTGTATGAGAGTCTGAGTTGACTGACAAGCCTACTGTGCTAGGATACATGTTGACTGGTAAGCCTACTGTGTTAGGATACATGTTGACTGGTAAGCCTACTGTGTTAGGATACATGTTGGCTGGTAAACCTACTGTGTTAGGATGCATGTTGACTGGTAAACCTACTGTGCTAGGATACATGTTGACTGGTAAACCTACTGTGTTAGGATACCTGTTGACTGGTAAACCTACTGTGTTAGGATGCATGTTGACTGGTAAACCTACTGTGTTAGGATGCATGTTGACTGGTAAACCTACTTACTGTGTTAGGATGCATGTTGACTGGTAAACCTACTGTGTTAGAATACATGTTGACTGGTAAACCTACTGTGTTAGGATGCATGTTGACTGGTAAACCTACTGTGCTAGGATACATGTTGACTGGTAAACCTACTGTGTTAGGATACATGTTGACTGGTAAGCCTACTGTGTTAGGATGCATGTTGACTGGTAAACCTACTGTGTTAGGATGCATGTTGACTGGCAAGCCTACTGCATTAGGATGCATGTTGACTGGTAAGCCTACTGTGTTAGAATGCATATTGACTGGTAAACCTACTGTGTTATGATGCATGTTGACTGGTAAGCCTACTGTGTTAGGATGCATGTTGACTGGTAAGCCTACTGTGTTAGGATGCATGTTGACTGGCAAGCTTGCTGTGTTAGGATGTATGTTGACTGGTAAACCTACTATGCTAGGATGCATGTTGACTGGTAAACCTACTGTGTTAGGATGCATGTTGACTGGTAAACCTACTATGTTAGGATGCATGTTGGCTGGTAAGTCAACTATATTGAGATGCATGTTGGCTGGCAAGCCTAATGTGTTTGGATGCATGTTAACTGACAAGCCTACTATGTTAAGATGCATGTTGGCTGGTAAGTAAGTCATCAAAGAAAACTGCTGCCTAGAGCTTCTTACTATCATCACTCTCTTTAGAGAACATTCCAAGTCACCTGAGTTAGTGCCAATCTCTTCCTCAAAGATAGACTTTGCCTTCTTAGTATTTGCCTCTCAGCAGTGTTTTCTTTTTAACACTCCAAAGTCCTGTACGAAACCCTCAGAAGAACCTCTTTATCATTTGCTATCCAGATCATGAGGACATCCTTGTAAACGGAAGACAGCCTTATCAGATCATGAACTAATAGTGCAATGGGGAGGGCACACTGACCACGTGACCTTACTCTAGAAATCAAACATTCCCATGGTGCTTCCCTCACCATCTCTTCTGCCAAGATCCACAGTTGTAGAGGTGGAACAGAAGTACCTGTTCAGGCTGGTTTGCATTCGAGAGAGGAATGACCATCCAAATGACATTGAGGTTAATGAGAGCAGCACTGGTAGAGAAGGCGCACGGCAGGACGGCTGTCTGGCCCCGGGCCACCTGGACACTGCCAGGGCTCTCAGACACTTCCAGGGACACCGCAACACCTGTAGAGGAAGGAACAGTTTGGTTCTGTGCGTGTCCTCTCCTAACAGCTCTGTGAGTATCGCAGTATCACATTACATCTGACCTGGATCTGTGAACACACTGACAGAATGGTCTAACCAGAGAATGACTCATCACTCACAGAGCCAAAATAAGAAAGTGGCTCACCCCTTTACATCTTGCAAAGTAATTTTGAAATGTTAGGGACCATCTATTCTCTCTCTCTCTCTCTCTCTCTCTCTCTCTCTCTCTCTCTCTCTCTCTCTCTCTCGTTTTTGTTTTTTTGTTTTTCGAGACAGAGTTTCTCTGTGTAGTTTTGGTGTCTATCCTGGATCTCACTCTGTAGACCAGGCTGGCCTCAAACTCACAGAGATCTGCCTGGCTCTACCTCCTGAGTGCTGGGATTAAAGGTATGTGCCACTGCCGCCCTCTATTCTCTCTTATAAGGCAGTAACCCAGTATTTGGAGAGATTCAGATACACCATGGCAAAGTCCGTGCAAAAGTTGATAAATTCTGACAAAAGACATGAACTGAATTTTCTAAGTATCATTACAGTAGCACACCACAAAACTTAGTGCTCATCTGTAAATCTAACAAAGTATGTGCATGCCTTTGTGCTCAAAACCACATATAAAACATCAATGAAAGAGGTAATAAGTAAAAGAAATGGGAAGACATACAGTGTTCATGAGATGGGAGATCCAATATTAATAAGAGGTCAATTAATCTCCCCAAATTGATAAAATTCAGAGCAAATTCAATTAAAACTCTACCAGGCTTTTTAAGTACATGGCAATGAATTAATTTTCGCACACATTAAAAGGGAAGAATCACAAAGAGTCAAAAGAAATAAAAGAACATAATAAAAAATGATGGTCAAGGGCTTATGTGATGGCTCAGCATTAAGAGCACTGGCTGCTCTTGCAAAGGACCCAGCTTCGATTCCCAGCACCCACGTGTTGCTTACACCCTCTGTTAACTCCAGTGCCAAGGGGTCCAACACCCTCTTCTGGTCTCCACAGACACTGAACACACATACTGCCTATAGCTTAGGCTTGTTCCTAACTAGTCTTATGACTTAAGTTAACCCATTTCTATTCATCTTCATCCTACCATGTACTGCCCATCCTGCTTCTTCTGTGTCTTCTGGCATCTCTTGTGTGCCTAGATTCATCTTCTACTTCCTCTGTCTCTGCCCGGAAGTCCCACCTACACCTCCTGCCTAGCTATTGGCCATTCAGCTTTTCATTACACCAATCGCAGCAATATATATTCACACAGTGTACAAACATCCCACAACTGTGGTGTACACCTATACAGGCAGGGAGAGCTCGAGTCTGTGGCCAGCTTGAACTGCAGTGATACCCTACCTGGAAAGAAAGGCAGTGAGAGGGGAAGGGAAGGGCAGTGAGAGGAGGAGCCGAGCATCGTGGTAGAGGCCTCCTGAGTGGGGAGATGAAAGCAGGAGGGCTGTGAAGTCAGGACAGCCTGGGCAAAGGCGGGCCTGGGCAGAGGCGGGCCTGGGCAGAGGCGGACCTGGGCTACACAGCAAGACCATACTTCGCAACACAGCAACAACAAAACGAGCCACAGAGGGTCCACCATTACGTTCTTCAGACTGCTCCAACGCAGGAGAGAAAGCACTTGCCCCTGTTAACCTATGCAAGGCGATGTTTATCATCCATCCTCAGGTATACTAATTTCATGCTGAACTCACATAATTTTCACACACACACACACACACACACACACACACACACACACACAATCAGTAAAAACAAACTGAAAGCAAAAGCTAGAAATGGGGGAAATTGCCCAAACAGGGAATGCAGAGGGCAGGATGGGCAGGGATGGGCAGGGATAGACAGGGATGGGGCAGGGATGGGGCTGAGGTGGGGCAGGGCTGGGGCTGGGGTGGGGCAGGGATGGGGCAGGGAAGAGGAGCCTGTTAGCAAGAGAAAGCCTCTGCGGCACTCACTATTTATTTTTACATTCTCACGCCATCTGATTCTTGAATCCCACACTTTAGCACCGCTGCAGAAGAAACATTCTAGACAGCTTCCAGAGCGTGCAAAGGGGCAGGTGAAGCTGGACGGGTCTGACTGGCAATCTGGCTCTTGCTTCTAATCTGCTACGGAACATCAAGCAAGTCACTTAATCTCTGAAACTTGGCGCTTCATCTACACAAAGGGCTTGTGCTCCCACCCACTCGCCACAGAAGGAGTGTCAGAAACGGTGGCACCCGCCATGACTATCCTTGCTGGGGAGGCAATGGAGCACGCTGACCATCCAAGCCTACAGCCAATACTATATAGAAACCCTCATTTAATTCCACAAAGAATCAAGAAGGAACTCCCACTTCTGGGGCCCTTCTGATCCCCTTGTTGGGAGTTGTTTGTTCTAATAAAATTTGTCCCCCCCAAAAGGGAAAACAGAGGCCCAGAGAAAAACTAAAAGCCAGCCCGAAGACACATAACCACAAGGCTAGAAAATGTACACTCTGGACTCAAACCAGGCAGTTTACCTAAGGAAAACATACACTAAAATATCTCATAAATGTTTATTACCACTGCATTAAGCAATCACAACATTTAAAACTATAACAGACTTTTACACAAAACCATTAGATGAAAACCTCCTCAGTTTCCTGACTGTAAACCTACAAATCAGCTCCATCTGCCTCACCGCCCTCTCTACTGTTAAGAGTTTATTTAGAGCCACGCCCACCATCCACCAGGAGAGCTTTGACTCCTCTCCCTTTGGTCCCTTAGTAACCTTGCCACAGACTGCAGGCTCTCAAGCCTTCTCTCTGCACAGGAATCCCCTGGCAGCATTTCAACATTGTCCAGTTGCTCAATTTCAAAGCAATCCCTCCCTCGCCGAAGGGGAGTAGTGTCCTGTTCCCCCCACTCCCACCACCAGGATCTGCTGCCTCCGAGGCTTCCTGTGACTCTTTCTCAAGACCTGTCGACGCTGGCTGTCTAGTGACCACTGTCTCCCCAAGTCTTTGATCCAGTGTGGTTCCACCACTTCGAAAAGCTCCTCCCCAGGCATCCCAGAGACCATGTGGCTGCATAGCCTTTGTAATCTCTCTTGCACCCTCAGGGGCATCTACCAGAGATGAGCAGGCTTGCTGTTGAAATCCACTGCCCCTCAGCTTCAGGGAGACAGTTTGAACTCCACTTCCCCTTGCCTGAGTGTTCCTTGGTCTCTCTGCAGTTTCGCTCCTTGCCGTTGCATGGCTTCACGTGTTCGTCGTCCTCAAAGGACTTCCTGATCTCCACACTGGCCCTGCAGAAGCACATCTACAGTCTCCAACTGGATCCTCATTTACAATGGCTTCCAAATGTCTCTCTCAAACGTAAATCATCACCTCCCAGACACATCTCCTTGGTATCTCCAAGGCATCTCAAGTCAGTGTCCATGACCAAAGGCATCCCTCCCATGCCAGGCTCCTTTCTTCTTAAAAGTTCTTTATTCGTTTTTAGGTTGGTATACAAAATAACATGTTTTATTTTGCATTTTCGTACACGTGTTCTCATTCATGACCCTTCCTGACTTCTCTCCCCTGTGTGGTAGTTTGAAAGAAAGTGGCTCCGAAAGGGAGTGGCACTGTTAGGAGGTGTGGCCTCGTTGGAGTAGGTGCGTCACTATGGGGGTGGGCTTAAGCTCCTTTGCTCAAGCTACACTCAGTACTCAGTGTGGTAAACAGTTCACTTCCTGTTGCCTGCAGATCAAGATGGGGGTTTTCAGCTCCTTCTCCAGCACCATGTCAGGTAGCATGCCTCCATGTCCCACCATGAGGATAATGGACTAAGCATCTGAAACTGTAAGCCAGCCCTAGTTAAATGTTTTCCTTTATAGGAGTTGCCATGGTCATGGCGTCTCTTTACAGCAATTGAAACCCTAACTGAGACACCCCACTCTGGCGGGGGTTCTCTGCCTTTCCCCATAGACTCCTTTCTCTCTGCTCCATGCTTTCATGACGTGTGTATTCTGTTACCCTCTTCTTCCCCCGCCCCCCACACACACACCTCAATGGATATATCCATATTTTTCATTTTAAATTTAAGTTTAAATATGAGATAATATGCAGTATTTGAGTCTATCTTATTTCATTTAAACATAATGGTTTCTAATTGCATCCAATTTCCTGTCAAGATTTCATTTTTCTTTGTGAATAAAATTCCAATGTATATATGTACCACATTTTTTCCTGCATTTATCTATCAATAGACATCTAGGGCTTGCATTTCCTAGCTATTATGAAAAGTGCAGCTACAGACATGGGTGTGCAAGCAAATCTCTGAGGTATGCTGACTTAAAAATTAGTTGAGTACATACCCAAGAGTGGTACTGCTGGGGTATATGGTAGTTCTATTTCTGGCTTTGGGGGAAACCCCCATGCTGATTTCAGCAGTGGCTTCACACGTTTACACTGTCAGCTGCAGTGTACCAGGGCTCCTCTTTCCCCATATCCTTACCAATATTTGTTGTTTGTTTTTCAAAGCAATTTTAATTTGCCTTTCCCTGATGGCCAAGGAACACTTTTTCAAACATTTATCAAACATTATTCATTTTGGAACTGTTAATTCAGTTCCTAGCTCATTGATAAACTAATTAATTAACTGATTATCATTGGGGGGTTTTAAGGGGTGATCAGGCTTTTTGTTGTCATTTGGTTGACTTTTGTTTGCTTGCTTGGTCTGGGACATATGTCTTTTATTGACCTAATTCACCAGAGTGAAAATAATGCCTACACCAAACCAAATATGTGTTACTATAACTTCTGCATCACAAAATCCACAGCTTCAAAAACAAAAACATCACATTTGACTCAATCAAAATCCACTGCTTCAGAATCAACACCTTCTTTGAAACCACAGAAACGTTTAAATATGGTTAAGACTCAAATGCAGAAATCTGGTTGGTTGAAAAGCTAATTAACTTCCTAACTTGCTCAAACAAAAATTACAAAAAGGCAAACTTGTGAGGATTGTT